TATTACAACCAAGGCCCTAACGGTGCTGCCCTTGGACCTGGAAGTCTCAAGTTGTTTCTTAAGCTCAGAGACTTCCAAACCCCATCCTGTGGCTTTATCAAGATAGTATGGAATCTCCATAGCAACAAAACCATTGCCCTTTCCAATTATCTTCTCAACCTCTACTCGCACATCTTTAAGATTGATTCCCATTAGCAATAATCTAAACTTGTAAGGGTTATCATCTTCTACAAGTTTATCCCTCCCACCATTTTGGAGGAGTTGATTTACCAACACGGATTGTTCAGATTTCTTATCTACCGTATAAATTCCAAGGTTAATTGGATAGTAATTTCCTGCTACAGGTTGAGTAACTGTAAAGTTCCATTCTTCTATGAAGTCTCGTACCCGTTTTAGAAAGTCTCTCCCATTAGAATCAGTATGAAACACCTTGTTTGTGGCCATATTTGTTGTCAGCCGAGTAATGATCTTTTTGTCGACAATGTCATCCATGGTAATCGGACCAATAGTGAATTCGAATTCAGCATGCTCTTTGTCTTTGTAGAGTCTGGTGACCTGGTAGATCCATTCATTAAACTATTGGTAAACTTCATCAACTAGGGGTCCACGAGTGACCCTCAATGGCACTGATTGTGAAACAACGATTGGAGATGAGCCGTTAGGCCGGAATACATATGCACCAGATGCCTGGGGATCAGAATCACCACTGCTTGAACTATACCACAGGTAGCTCTGCTGCCCTGGTACATCTACCTTTGGTGTTGGCAATTTATCGAACACCTGGGAATCATCATGTTTTTCCTCACACTTTTTACCAGTCAGCAACTGTAAAATGTGCTCCACATCTCTCTGCTGCGACACCATTTTGGATTCCAACATACTCAACCAACTGTCCTGCTTCTGCCACCATTTAGGAGGTTTTGTGCCATCCGCTGCTTGCGTCACCAGAGTTGTAAGTTCTGCAATATGCTGCTGGATTGAAGAAAGATTAGGAGTTTCGACCATGGTTTGGTTCTTTGCTTCAAGCTGCTAGGAAATGATGGCTCTGAATACCAATTGTTATGACCCTAGGAGATTAGAGAAGAAAATTAGACGAAGAATTGAGAGAATTAAGATTAAGGAGAGAAAAGAAGAGATTCAAAGAAGCTTAGAATTCATTCAATCAAAGCATGCCTTCCCCCCTCTAGTACATGGTTTTATATAATTACAGTGTACCCCTAGTTACCCTACAGCTGGCAGTCCTTGTTGTACTGAATATAACAACCTGCACAAATAAGCAAGCTGTTTCCTATCCTTAGTGGGCTGTAGAACGTGTCTGGTCCATTCCCAATTCCAAATCCCTAACCCTTTCTCTGATTTCCCCATTTTTCTTGCTCCGATTCTTATCTCTTCTCCTCTGTGCATGACAATATGTTGGATAGGAATAATTGAAATTAAAAGTATTCTATTTCTACTTATGAAAAAAGAGGATAAGTTAATGGGATCATAAAAAAGCTATTGCTTAAAAAGCGAATGCATCTCGGCTGTTCTAGAGCTAATATACCAGCAGCAGTTTCTGTGGTGACTGCAATTTTTGAAGTAATGGTTCATAGTTTACAATTGAGAAGATGGTGCTTAAAGCTTTTGTTTTAAGGCTTATTCTGTTAACCAGTTAAGAAAGGTAGCAGCTTTTGGGTTGCTAACATTATTCGAGGGTTTAATTGTTGATAACTAGCAATACAACTTGTCATGGGTATAGTTTTGCATTGAGGACCCTGTTACAGATGTTTGGTTGAAGGGCTCTTGAATTATTAAGATGTCACAATCTCCTTTTACCTCAAGTCGCTGACATATTGGCATTTGATGGATGTTGCTTCCACTTAATTAAATAGCCTTCATCATGTTTCTTTTTATTTGTTTTGTCTTTTCCTCCAAATTTGGTTCATTTTGGCTTAATTTTCTTTTTTTCTTTTCAGATTGAGAAACCTCTGCAGAGGCACGGTGGCAGGCTTGAAAAAAATGAAACATATTGTGGTTCGTGCTTTGGTGCAGAGCAGGTATGTTCGGTATCAAGAAATACTGAAGCATGTTGAATAACATCACTTAAGTGCTAAGAAGGTTCTGGAAGAGGTTAATTAGTAAATGGCTAGGAATTTTCCCTGAAATATTCAACTATTTCTTACTATAAAAACCCGGACACTCGTGTTTTGTGATCATTACATTGTGATTAATGTGTAGTTTATTTTGCTAGAGTTTGCCTCAGCTACATATGCAATCCTCTTGCAGTCTTGTTGTTGTATTTAAAAATAAAGATATTGGAAAAACTAGAACATTCTATGTCAAATAACACAACCTAGTATTTTTCTTAAGAAAGTTGATGAATACTACAAACCATATTAAGGAAAAAGTGTAGGTTGTATATCGGTTTCTGTTTCCTTTTTTACCCTTCAGAGATTAAATGTCTCTGATTTAATATTTGTGCAATGATCTCCTTTCCAACTTTGTGGTGATTGGTCCGTATGATCTGGATTTATTCATTTCTAAGGTTGTCAATTTTTTTATTCTCAATTGTTAGATTGCATTTAAATGTTGGTAAAACTGTGTGGTCAAATCCTCTAAATAACTCTGAAATGTAGCCAAAACTCCAAAGTGCTTTAAGAGATTGCCTATGCCGTAAAATGCATGGTACTTGAAGACATATTACTAGTGCTCTTTGCAAAACTGAAAAAGAAACATACATGAATTACATGACTGAGCAGCTTGTAAATCTTTACTATTACGTTATTGGCAGTCACTGCCAAAGTTATCATGATATAATGATCTCAAGGGTGCTAGTTGCTATACGAACTTGATTAGAATACTTATCCTATATATAACATCTTAACTAATTATTTAATTGTTTGTATGCCACTTATGAAAGGTTTTCTCTTTTTCCTCTCTATGGTGCAGTCAGATGATGACTGTTGTAACTCCTGTGAAGAGGTTCGTGAGGCGTATCGGCGAAAAGGGTGGGGAATGACTAATGCGGACTTGATTGACCAGGTGTCTTTGCAAGTTCTTTACCCAAGTATTTTCTGAAAAATTTAATCCTCTTGCTCCCTACATTGGGAAACAAATCCTACTTTCTAGCTTGCTATTTTCTCTGTTTTTTACATTTTTTTTATTTCCAGTGCAAAAGAGAAGGCTTTTTCGAAAGGATAAAAGAGGAGAATGGTGAAGGATGCAACATTCATGGTTCTCTTGAAGTTAATAGGGTTGCTGGGAATTTCCATTTTGCAGCAGGCAAAAGTTTTCATCAATCAAGCTTTTTCTTTGATGACTTGATATCTTTCCAGAAGGACAGTTATAATGTAAGGCTCATCTTTATTGATGGAACTGCTATGTTCAATATATATATGCTTTGTTTTTGTTACAAATTTCAATGGTAATGATATTTCGCATTTCTATCGTACAAAACAGATAAGTCACAGAATTAATAGGTTGGCTTTTGGTGAATATTTCCCCGGTGTGGTAAATCCACTTGACGGGTAATAGTTCTTTCTTTTTCTTCTCGGTTTGTTTGTTCTTTGGTATGTTTCTTTTCAAGATGAAAGTGAAGCCAAATGCAAGTACTGAAAATTTTTAATGGTTGTTTCAAATTGCTATTTCAGGGGACAATGGACACATAAAACCTCAAATGGAATGTACCAGTACTTCATCAAGGTTGGTATTTTAAAGAATCTAGGGGTGTTCCTTGTTTTTAAGCTCTTTTATTGACAGATGAACATTTTCCTGTGACTTCACTATCATTTTCATGACCACGATGCCTAGAACATATATATTAACTGCTCTCCATTTTTCTTTGAAAAAACTGATAATTTTAGAGTATTAGTCTCTCTGGGTGCACCCTGTGTACACGGAAGCAATCTATAGACTTGTCACAACTGTTATCTTATTTTTGCAGGTAGTACCCACAATATATACTGACATCAGAGGCCGCACTGTTAACTCAAATCAGGTACTTCTTGAAAGTTCACACATTGAGAGTAAGAATCAAATTAGTTTATCATGTTTATTGGATCATGTTCTGAGATGTGCTATGATTCCTACTGCACAGTATTCAGTGACAGAGCATTTCATGGATTTGGAGTTTATTAGTCCTAATGCTCATCCTGGAGTTTACTTCTTTTATGACTTTTCTCCAATCAAGGTAGGTTATTTTTATTTTAAACAGATATCATTAACATAGATCATGATGATATATTTCGAAAACATCTAGAAAAAAGGCGGTATAACATTGGTATTCATCTTTCCCTGTGCAGGTCACTTTTAGGGAGGAACATATTTCATTTTTGCACTTCATCACCAATATATGTGCTGTAATTGGAGGTGCTGTCATTTCTAACTCGCACTATATTTTCCCAAATCCTTTATTTCCTTATGCATTTTGGCCTTGCTTTACCTGATATGTCAATGTTCGTTTAAAGTGACCAAGATTGTGTTACTTCTCGTTTAGGTATCTTCACAGTTGCAGGGATAATCGACTCGTTTGTATATCATGGTCAAAGAAAGATCAAGAAGAAGGCCGAAATCGGAAAATTCAGATGATTTATCTGCTTATTATTCCCATACATCACCTTGGCTTTCGACACGGTTTTCGTGTATTTTTCGGATGGTACCCGCGTAGGGATCCATGCTGCTGTTTACATCCCAGATTGTATGACAACATATTAGTCCTTGAATCATTGAAACTGTCAGATTTACAGTCTAAAAGAATCTGTTACTTGTGCACTTGTAATCTGTAATTGATATTCTTGTTTTGATTCTCATCAACACCAATCAGTTCTAAAATCTTGGCAGATATGTCTGGACCGTGCCCCTGCTGATTCTATTTAGTGTGGAAACGTGCACCGTCAATGATGCTTTTAATGGAAACACCAATAAACAAAGGAAAAGCCTGGTCGATCAAACATACTGCACTGTAGTCTCTTCGTTTATATATTGATAAGTGTTCAACACTCAAATTATCAATAAAACAAAGATTTCAAAAAAATATTTTCGGTTCACCAATAGTTACCACCAAACATGAATAGTTTTTAGTTTAGATTTTCCTCCCAAACTATTAAAAGCAAAAGGTTATGCCCCACAGGATTATCTTGGCAACAACGGCAAGATGCACACTACTTAGTCTCTATAGGAACTTGTACTCCACCCAGGTCAATTGAGGCAAGGGAAAGCTTCAACCTAATAGCCTCAAATTCAGCATTCTGCCATTCTTCGGTAGTCAACCACGAGGATAAACATCGGTCGATCCAGTCCTTGCCACAACTCAAGGGAGAAGTTCCCTTTAAACTGTCCATCCTTGAGAATCTTACGATCCTAGCTAGATTCAAAGCAGAGGGCTCCTTTGCATAACTCTCTAGGATGTCCTTAATGGCACCACACCAGATAGGTCGAGCTACCTTAAGAAACTCATGCAAAACCAGCACTGGGAGGTTCACACTCCCGAGTTCGGACTCACCATTCCCACCTCTCCCATGATAGTCTGATCCTCCAAGCTTCAGAAGTTCATACGTATCCGCTAAGTCATTAAATGCTGTAAACCAAAAAGACATGAAAAGCTTTTAACTAGCAGCAGTCTCATATCGGCCTTGTGTAAAGCTAAGCTCAATATAAACAAGTAAATAAATAACAAAATATGCAAATATGTAATTATGCAATCACGAGGAAATCGAGCATAGCATAATTGTATTTTTTCTGCTCAAGTACATGGACAGCTAAGTTAATATGTAAAAGCATGCAGGCGTTACGAAGAGGGATACCAACAATTTAACACAGCAAACAAATACCTGCCAGTCTTCCATCACTTCTGTAAACCTCCATTCCATGAAGGCCCGCATCTTTTAACTGTCTTATGATCGGAATAGGGTTTTTTAGTGCCCACGGATGAGCAAGGACTGCTAAACCCCCGGTTTCACATATAAGCCGCACTGCTTCTTCTGCAAGAGGCTCACTTCCTCTACAGGGAATAAAACAAAATTTTCCATATATCATTGCTAAAGGTGAAGAAATATGAATTAGGCATAATTAAGAAGGCAAAGATATAAAGAAAATATTACGTTGAATAAGCAGGGCCGCCATCATATAAATATCTGGCAAAAGCTTGTTTTAGATTCTCTACATAACCTGCCTCGACCATTGCTCGAGCCACATGCAATCGCCCAGGAGCCACTCCATTGCCTGCAATCTTTGTAATATGCTCCCACTTAAGTGGTAGCTTGAGTTTATTGAGTTTCAAAACCATGTCCTTGGCACGTAAATATCGTCCCTCCCTTATGTTAGCCAATAATTTTTCCAGTTCCTCGTGCCTCATGGGGCCACAGCTGCTGTAATATGCAAGGATGTGCACCGGTTCCTCCATTTCGAGATTTCTGCTTTTGAATCAATAAATGAAACATAAGAGGCGTAGAAGAACAGAAAAAGAAAACCAGAAAATCTGCTTCTTTCAATTACCGGCTAACTTTTGCAGAATGATTATACCAATAAAACAAAAAAAGTCATTTTACGATGATTATTCTATTAATAATTATACAAATAAAAGAAAAAAAATCATTTTACGATGATTATTCTATTAATCAAACAAGAACCTTGGAGAAAATATGGTGCTGATCTCAACACCCGGGATTATCTTGATACCAAATCTGCGAGCTGTTTCAACTGCCTCAGTGATGCCAGACATTGTATCATGATCCGTCAGAGCAAGAACTTTCACCTGTTCTGAACACAATGTACTAATCATATTCCAAATACTTAAAAAAAGGTATGAAAGAACCAACATGGAAGAGTTACCAATTTATTCACTGAAACAGGAGAAAGAACAAAGATATGAAGATAACAAACTTATAATATGATTCAAATAGATAATTCCACATGAAGGATTCATGAATTCTTCCTAAAATACAAATTTGCTTCATAAAACAAAACCAATTTCCTCCTTTGTCTTTATATTCCTCGAAGTTCAGATATATTAGGGAATTCAAGCTCAAATCATCCATTCCATAGTGTGTGCTACTTAATATATAATTATGCCAAAGTTAAGAAACCAAAGAAAGATAAGTCTGTTTTTGTTCCAAAAAAAGAAAAGAAAAGATAAGTCTCTTATCATCAGTCTGCTTCTTTAGAACAATAACCAATAATTACAAACTAAGCAGATAGTAAATTTTCACGTACAGAAAACAACCACACAAATATAGATATATAGACATGCATCTGCAGAGGAATTGCTCAAATGCAAAATCAAAACGTTCGAGTTGAAGGTCCATTAAAACGAAGCTCGCTTAAACCAAAAGAGAAGAATAAGAAAACATTTCAGTACTTAAAAATACAGACAGGTAAACGGATGGACAACACCAAGCAGAAACTACTAAAAACCTGTTGCTCCAACTTTTCATTTTCTCCAAATACATATAATCTGTTTAGATCATAGGCGGGTTAGACCGACCTCCTACATCAATAGAACTAATATCCTCCTTTGAAATGAATGAAGCAAGCATTTAATACCTAGTTTTTGCTGGAATTCACCATCAAAACCTGAATATTTATAGCCTACTTTTACCGTTAATAAACCACAAAATACAAATGTATGGACCCTCATCGATTAACTACTAGATAATGGACAATAGCATTTAAGTTTGCAAGCAAACTAAAGACAAACAGTTGGAAAAAAAATAAATTAGAAACTTGAAAAGCAAGTTCAAGTTACTTGAGGCCATTTTCAGTATTTTTTTCTGAAAAGTTTTTTTTTAATATCACCATATTCATATGGCGATACGGTTGGATAAGGATGCTTCAAGAGAAGTAATGAATGGTGGGGGCAAGGCAACATAGAAAAAAGTACAAGTCTTTACATTTTCACTCAACTGTAGAAGCAGAAGAAATAGCCATAGCCTTCAATACACACACAAATGCCTTTAGCCTTAGGGAGTCAACCAATGGGTTTAATTTTAAACCTTAAAAAAGCAAAACCATACGAATATACTGTTCAAAAAAATCAACATACCTAAAGAACAGCAACCCAAATAGATCCATAAGAAAATTCTAATTTTTACTATTCTATTTCAGCTATGCAATCAAAATAACCAAACCCGTATCAGAAATCGATTCATGGTAAACGAGAAAACAAAAGAAATCTAGAATCACCCCTCTGCCATGAGCTCTCTCAACGAGCTTTGAAGGAGACAAGAACCCATCACTGTGTTTAGAATGGGAATGCAATTCAAACAGCACTTTATCCATCCCTCTCCCCAAACTCTTTTGAGCCCCAAAATCATCAACCACCCACGAAGATAAAGCCGACGTAGTAGAAGATGAAGAAGATGAATTTGGGTGATCCAAATAAACCCATTCGGTCACCGATTTGAAAGCGGAGGCTTGCTCGGCCGTCATCTTCCTTTTAGTACCCCCACGCTTCTTCTTCTTGTTCTTCTTGTTGTTGCTGTTATCGCCAAGACCAACCATGGATGACCGATTTCCTTTTTTCCCCCTCTTCCTGGTTTGGTTAAATAGATTAGACAGATTGTGAGTATAAAAGATCAGATACGGAAAAAGGTTAAGAAAGAGAGGCAGAGAGAAGCAGAGGAAGGGTGGGGGGCAGTGGCAATGGCTATTTCTTTGTTAAGCTCGAGATTCTATGTCACAGGTGTCCTCTCTTTTCTTTGGTCCCACAGGTGTACTTATGGGGATTGTCTCAGGAAAGGCGGGTTAATATACGGCTAATATATAGCATTATCGGATACATTAAAATGTATTTAATAAATTCGGTTTAGCGGTACCTATTATGTTGACAACTAATAACGTTTTAGGTAGAAAATATGAAAAACTATTAAAAAATTTGGTAACCGGTAAACTTTGGTTATCGGTAAGTATCTATCCTTTTTATAAAAGTGTCCATACGTTTAACATATCAAGTAAATTTTACCGGTTTTGTCATAATAAATCTGGTTTTGTCATATTTTTACCTGTTATATTGTAAATTATCTATTCTTTTTATAAAAGTGTACATACTTATTTCACTGTGAAAATATATTTATTATTATCTTTAGTTAATATTGTTAAATTTAAAATCTAAATAATATTTTATAAAATATCAAAACAATCAAATAATTTTTTGTGTAAATGAAATTATTAAATTAATATTGTAGGTGGAAAACATGAAACACTATTAAAAAAATTGAAACATAAATTACATAACTTTCAAAAAAGTATATATCATTTTTATAAAAGTGTCCATACTTATTTCACTGTTGAAAACATATTTATTATTATATTTGGTTAATATTGTTAAATTTAAATTCTAAATAATATTTTATAAAATATCAAAACAATCAAATAAAATTTCGTGTAAATTAAATTATTAAATTAATATTGTAGGTGGAAAACATGAAACACTATTAAATAAATTGAAACATAAATTACATAACTTTTAAAGCAGTTTTAAATCCTAAAAAGTGTTGATACTTTTAAAAAATATATCGATCCAAAACGATATACCAGGTAAAAATATGATAAAACCGGTAACAAAATGATAAAACCGGTAAATTTAAAAGTGTCGATACGTTATATAAGGATCGACACTTTGTGAATTTAAAAGATAAGCAGTTATAGCGCCTATAATGTGTCGATACTTTAAAAAAATATATCGATCCACAACGATATAACAGGTAAAAATATGATAAAACCGGTAACAAAATGATAAAACCGGTAAAATGATATTGGATATATTTAAAGTGTCGATACTTTCGTAAGTACGTGTAATAAATTATCGACACTTTCAAAGAAATAGGTAATTATCCTTTCGAAAGTATCGACACCTGACATAAAAGTATCGACACTTTTGTATTTGTATCGATTAAATATAAATAACATATCCGATGAAAATATAAAGGCCATAGCTAAATATCCTCTGAAAAAAGATAGAACGGACGAGTTTTTGAAATCGAAGAGTAATTGTTGCTGCATTTCAGAAGGCGTTTCTAAAGCGAAGTTTGTTTGTTTGTTGCTGCAGTCGAATCGAAAAGTATGTTGTCGAAACCCTAATTTTTTATTATTACAGTAATCGCGATAGGGTTTTTTATGTGTTGTTTGGGGTTTTGGAGTAAGGAAGCATTTGGGACCGATTGCAGGTAGAAATAGATATTCAAGGAAAAATATAAATGTCGATACTTTTATTAAATATTATAAGTAGAAAATGATATTATAGGTTGTATAAATGTGCCGACACATTTTGGTGTGGCCATTCAAATTCTTTTGAAGAAAACCGTTTTACCACAAGAGTAGTTATCTATATTTGTATATTGAAAAGTGTATGTAACAAAATAATTTGATTTGTGTAAACTGATATATGAAGGAAAAATGGAGTCAATGGGTTGGAAAATTGTTGGTGGAGCAGATGACTTTGAAATTGAGGCCGAGACTCGAAAGCAACCAAAGGGTGGATATATGTACTTCTAGTAAGTATCAATGTCTTTTTGTTATTATTGTTGAAATGGTAATTGGATTAAAGTATCGATAAACTTTAAATTGATTACAAATTTTAAATGTTAACAGTATGGCCGAATGCAAAAGGATGAAGGGAGATGGCACACAGAGCGGTTCGGTATGTAAAATGAAATTGACATTGAGTAGTATTAGTATTTAGTGTTAATGTATTGATTAAGAAACGTTTATGTTTAATATTAGGTGAAAAAAGATGTGAGGTCCAAATGGAATTCAATGAGTGATGCTGAAAAGGAACCTTACATCACACAGTCAAGGAATGATAGTAAAGAATACAAAGAACGGAGGAAAGCACATGAAAATAAGGTATTCATTAAACTTGTAAATACGTTGATACAAAATATATAAGAACTATAACATTATATATTGTTAAAAAATGTAGGAAGTATCGACAAGATGCAGCATTAAAAGGGTGAATTTATTAATTAAACACCTTAAGGAGAAGGGTCAGTTGAATGTGCTGGGAGAAATAGGTTTTGGATCGTTGATCGGAAAGGGATCGACCTATTCGGAGGGAATTGTGTCGATCCTTGATGGCACAATTTGACGTCAGTCAATGTATGGCTAAGTATGGTGATTATTCATTCCCTCTGGGGGTATCGACTGCTGCAGCCGTATTGGGGGTACAAAACAAAGGCAAAAGTGTTATAGAAGTCTGTAGGAGTAAGAACTGGAAAGCACTTGCCTCCAAATATGGTTTGAATCATAAGGTGACATATACTGAAGTTGAAGAGGATATCAAAAGTGGATCTTACTGGGGGGATGAGCTGAAGGCCCGAGTTCTATTGTACCTTGTCGGGATATTTATTTGTCCAACGGGTGATACGTCAACGAACAAGGAATATATGAAGCTCATTTGCGATGAAGGCTTGAAGGGTGAATTCAATTGGGCTGAATATATCCATTCGAGATTGATTGAATCAATAATCACCTTTAAAAAGGGCAGCCAGGGATACCTCAAAGGGTGCATAGCAATCTTAGAGGTAAATGAGTTGAATCACTTTTTGTGTTTTTATATAAAAATATAAATTTTATTATAAATGCAGGTTGCACTGTTCGATTTTTGGTCGGGCTGTGAGGCAGTGCCGGCTTATGAAAGAACCGGAGTGGCACGCATCCGTGCATGGGGGAAGGAAGAGGTGGTTAGAGTGATGGTGAAGTTGAAGTTGGATAGAGGGAAGAAGCAAGAAATGGTAATAAATGTAATTAAATAATATTAAGAATATAATCAATGTCTTAATATTGTAATTTAATTTTGAAGGTTATTGGCAAGGATGTAGAGGAGGCAGTGGAGGCAGAGGAGAAGAAAGGAGGGATGGTTGTATTGGGGGATGAAGGTGAGTGGGACGACGGTGAAGTAAAACAGAGTAACTTCGACATTTTGATGTCTGAATTGGCTGATATCAAAAAAATCCAATTTGAAATCATGCAAAGACAATCAAGAGTCGAAGAGAAACTTGATCAAGTCGTAGAGAAACTTGAGAGAGTCGAAGATACACTCGAGAGGCATAAGGGGGTAGTGGAAGGAAAAATAGATGGAGTGGTGAAAGAAGTAGAGGTGTTGAGGGGTGAAGTGGTGAAAGAAGTTGGGGTGTTAAGGGTGATATTAAGATGGTGACGGGAGAAAAATTTGAGGGAGTGGTGAAGGAGGTTGTTGATTTGAGGAGTGAACTTACGGGGGTGAAGGGGGTGGTTGATAAATACTCGGATGAAGGAGCTCAATTGAAGGGTGAAATAAAAGATATGAAGAGCTATGTAGAAAAAAAGTACGATGAACTGAAAAAATATGAAGAAGAAAAGAGGGAGGAAGAAGAAGAGATGGAAGAAATGAGGAGGAAGGAAGTCGATGTCATTTATACACCGGAGAGTGTTATAGCAGCAGTTTTGGATTCGGAATGTCCTGCACCCCAGAAGAAGAAGCAGAAGGTAAGTTTAATAAAAGAATACTTAATTTGATTTTTATTATGTTGTTGTGACAAAAATTTGTATGCAAAATTGTAGGTTGAAAAAGCGGATATTCCAACCGGAATTGATGACATCGAAGCTGCAATTTGTGATTATTTATGGAATAGCGAGTTAGAATCGGGGTAAGTGAAATATATTGTTTTGTGAGTGATATTTAAATATTTCATGACAAGATATTAATCCTAATGATTCATACAGATATTCTGTAATCTCAATGGGAAATCAATTCGCTACTGTATACGACGTTGCAACGTTGAAGCCTACGGAATGGGTTGGCGGTGTGGTAAGTAGAAAGTAGAAAATGTTAAAACTTATTGAATATGTTCTGATTGTGTAATTAATTTTGTTAGGTTATCGATTTGCTCGCCTGGACCATATGCTACGATTCTCAAAAGTCACACCGGAGGATTGGCTACCTTCCATACCTCTTAGTGGTGAGTTAAATTAATAAATATTGAAAAGTAGTGTTATAGACGGTAAATTAATAATGTTTGTTGCGTAATTACAGCAACAGGCGTTGGAAGCCAACAACAAAGAAAGTGTTGAGAGTATTTCTACCTTCTGGGGTGTCATATTGGATAACTATGTGAAATTCACCGACTGTGAGAAGGTAAGATACCATACCAATTGCAAATGATGTTTTCGGATATAGAATGTTGAATTTTGTCAAATTGGGTGTGAAATTTGTTGCAGATAATGATCACAATAAACTACCATAATTCACATTGGTATCTGTTGGTGTTGGATATGGTAGATCATGTTGTAACAATATATGATAGTATGTTTACAACTGAAGCAGCTAAACAGAGAGTGAAGGATGCTAAGAGATTGGTATGTATGTATGTATGAAAGGACATTATGTAAATTATAATGCATAATTTTTTTGGTGCATAACTTCTTCTATTTTAATGCAGATTAAAATATTAGATTCTTATAATAAGAAACGCATTTGGGTTGAGTCATGTGGATCTCTAGGAAAGTATCCCTTGAAAAATTTCAAATTTGTGGAGCATAAGAAGAATAAGCAATTGAATGGGTATGAGATGTTATCACAAATAGAAAGCTTAATTTATGCAGTATTCATCATAATTGACATATGTGGTTTTCAAATTTTGTAACAGA